TTGTGAATTGTTTGAATTTAACGTATGTTGAACTATTTGTTACAAGGAATAAGTTTATATACTGTTCAAAAAAAGTTCGTTTTACATGGGTAAGTATATCAACAGTGTTTAAGGCTGAAACGATACCTAACTAGACTGGGTGTAGGATCATAAAGCAAAGGATAATTAACAAGATCTGTGTGAAAGTGAATCAGTACCATTTTGACGTCAACGTTCGAACGACGTTTTAAGCATATAGCCAAAACGCATCCATCAAGAACTGTACGTGCAGCTGTGTTTTGTTAACAGAGAGAGAGAGAGAGAGAGAGAGAGAGAGAGAGAGAGACACACACCGAATAATAACACAACTCATGTAATGACGTATTCATACACACACGCACACATACACACGCACGTATGTCATATAAATCAGGATGACTGTTTAATTATACTCGGGATAACGCAATCCCATCCTCTCAACTAAACGTGCGGTGTATGTACATGAGTCGCGGTAAGTGTGGGTGTAGCTTTTCAGTACGATTCCTCCATGCTGTCTTTTTCGCAATACTTTCTGATCATTCTGTTCAGTTACCATAGCATCACATGATGCAATACATCACGTCATGTACATGCACCTCCTACAGCTGTGTGCACTCACCGAGAGAATGCATTTTCAGTTTATGAAAAGTTTATCCCCCGCCGTGATATTCCTGGAATATTGCTAAAAGCGGCATAAAACCCAACTCACTCACTCACTCATTCAGTTTATGATATAAGGCCCGTCCGACCGCCCCAGACGGGCTAGATTTTTGACGACCGGTCTATATTTACAGCTAGCCAGACTGATGGTTTGGTAAGATTTTTAGATAACATGTTTCCTTACAAATGAGTAAATTAATCTTAAAATAATCTATTTTTCAAATTGAGCGTCACATTTTGACTTGACAATTCCTCTGAAATGACTGTCGTGAATAGACTGTTAGACAGTAAATACATGTCTCAGGTTCATTACATTACATGATCGTAAGTCACTGATGTAACCTTAGTGCAGTGTTAAAGAATGGGAGTAAAGGTTGCTTCGTGAAAGGAGCCCCAGGTGAAACCCAGATGCTTGCTCTGTTTAGAATTTAAACTACCTCTTGCACGGGCCGGCCCATAGGCGAGAATATCTACTTTTGGCCCAAATTCATTATTTGCAGGTTGTAAATGAATGAAAGTAACATGGCACAAACTTCAAATCATAACATAATTCGGCTATTTTAGAACTTTATTAAAACATCTTACCCATTGGCCAGATTTTTTCACCTTATTAATTCGGTTAATTTAGAGCGTTATTTACCTTGGCTCAAAACTCATGCTTTTTGAGAGTCCACAGTGGGCGGAATCAGTTTCGCCTTTTGGCGAGTAAAACTGCATTTCAAAATCCATTTGTTTTGGTTTGAAAACAACATATATCAATGACTATAACCATTCTGACACTTGACAAAATTCTTTAAACGTTTAATAAAAACAATACAAATTGCTTCATTTTATCCTTATGATCAAAGTTTGAAATGAATGAAAAAAATAAATAAAATGAAATACTGAAGATGAAAACGATTTATCAATGAAACAAGTGCCACGAACATATATATACGATGTAGATATATTTGAGATGACTTCATGTGTAGCGTCAATGTTGAAATGCAACATGAACGTACAGGAAAAATTTGAGTTTTCACACAATAGCTAAATTGAGAGGCATATCTTGTTAAACCAGGTTGTTTTCAAGAGTAAATATATATAATTGTCCATCGTTTTTCACAACCCCTTTACAGACCAGTATGTGCACACGTTGCGAAGTTTGTTCTATTCCTATCACAGTAAACAAGGTTGTTCAATGACACACATAAAATATCAATATATTTAAACACTAACTTTACATGACAAACAAGTTAATGCACAGTTCGACACCTCAAGTGATTAAAAACAATCAATTCAAGATTTCGAAAGTATTTGAAATAATTAACTACAGTGGAATCTGTCAAATCAGGACACTTTGTAAAACGGTTTTCTCCATAATCCGGACTACACTCTGAGTCCCGGCAAAATTGTTTTTAATTTATCATTAAAGCTTGCCCTATAATCCGAACTCCCTCAATTACGGACTAAAATAACCGTCCCGACAATCAACTTACTAAGAGAACTATGCCTTGAATAAGCATCACGATTACTCCTGTTGGGGTCCTAATCGCAGCCAATTGCAACTCTGACCACAAGGCAATAGGCAGTTACCGTCTTTGATGTAAAACGTAAGTATGTTCTAAGATTTTACTGACCCCTAATGTGGGATTCTCTGTTTGTTTTCCTTTTTATACCGTGCAGTCAGTCTTTTTGTCACCTGCTCATCTCACACCTAATATCATGTGTTGTCGATAAAATGTATATATGGAAAGCAAATTACATTTGAAAGCGGCAGCATACATAAAATGAAACATACAGCTTTGTGGATGACAAACTCCTTATTTACTGCATAGAGCGATGTTTCGATGTAGATTCTTACACCGTCATCAAGCTTCGATAAAGTTGGATGTTTCATTTCTTATTCACCAACTTCTGGAAAGCCGATCAAACAAATAACAATAGAAATGGTGGACTTTCTCAACGATAGCATATTTGTAAAATGTGGGGGGAGCCATTTAGACAAGAAGTAGGCATGCCCATGGGCACAAATTGTGCTCCCCTTGATCTGTTTCTTTATGCATATGAATCAGAATTTCTGCCTGGGTTGACAAAATCCAAACAAGATCATTTGGCCAAGAAGTGTAAGTTAAGGTTCAGCTGGTATATCGATGATTTAATATCGTTCAATAACCACCAAATAGCCAATTCCCTTCCACTGATTTATCCACCTGAACTTGAAATTAAGGAGACAAGTGAGACCGACTCAACGTTTTCATATTTAGAATTATGCATAAAGATTCAGAGTGACAAAAGACTCTCCACACACTTTCCTTTCATGTCGAGCAATATTCCAACAGCTCCAGCCTTTGGTGTTTCACATTTCACAACTTTGAGGTACAATCGCGCAAGCACTCATGCTCAAATTTGTTTAATCAAGGCTACTACATTCAAGACCTCAGTAAAGCTTTCAATAAGTGTTCTGGTAGACATGTGGAGGACATTTTCTAAATTTGAGGTATCAGTGACAAAATGTTATGTCTGATGTAACACCCTATTTTGTCTTGTACCACACGTTCCCGAATTATTTCAGGTGAACAACTGACAAGACTTTGCATATGTTTATGACGGGTGCCACCAGTAGGGCATGGTATGCTCACCTTTTCGCGAACGCCTGGTATCATCAATATTTCATAGTGATTCATAAACACATGCCCTGTCATCGTATCGCATGGTGACAATCACTTGATTGTCTGGTCAAGACTCGATTTGTTTACTAACAACATCATACAGTTGTAATACAAATATATGCTCATGATATAATCACACTTGTACAATCGTCTCTGCTTTTAGCAGAGGTTTCTTATGGATGTCGAGAGAGTTATGTTTTATGCGTATGGAAGTGCAGCAAGAGGAATTTTCAGTTGAGTTAAAACAAACAAGTATTGAAAGATTAACCGATAGCACGATGACTGATTAATTACTTTTATCTTGCACAGCGGATTTGTCAAAGGTGTTGTTTATGTATTTAGATTTACTAACGTAATTGAATATACCAACATTCTGTCCTAAAGTGCCTGTGTACAAAAGACTACGTCCTTCCTTCAACCGCCAATACTGATCATTGTTGGCAAAGTAAATTACCTTTTTAAAGAATGGTGGACATCATGTAGGTAGTTGTTAGGTAGGCTATCTTGGGGGACCAATGAGGCAATACACCAAGGTAAAAAAACATAAAACAGTCACGTGACCAGTTGAGAAACTATCACTAGTTATGACGTCATATCATCGGGGTTTTTTTTACTGTAAAGACCATGACATTGAACATGGATTCTTTGTCGGCTGCAGATGAATGGCATATCGTTCCTTTATGTGGATATTGATGGATACATTCCTCGAACAGGGAATATCCTGATATTATTTGTACATCGTAAGTCTGTTTTAACTTTATATTTGTATTTTGCTTTCATTCATTTGTTGTAGCATTCAACAGAATCATTTTGTTTTGCCGTGAATTCTAATGAGACAGACAACATACACTAGGTCGCACTTATGGTGTGTGTGCGAAATATGATTCACGTTGGCAATCTATAACATGCCTAGATATTACAGTTATGCTACAAATTCACTAGAAACAGATATTGTACATTTTATTAACTTTCAACCCCTGAAAGTCCGGGTTTGAATCGATCTTCAGTAACCCATGCTTATCGTAAGAGGCGACTAACGGGATCAGGTGGTCAGGCTCGCTGACGTGGTTGACACATGTCTTCGTATCCCATTTGCGTAGATCGATGCTCATGCTCTTGATCACTGGATTATCAGAACGCCGCCATATAGCTGTACTATTGCTGAGTGCGGCGTAAAACTAAATTCACTTCCTCATTTTTTAAGTTTCAAAATACATACAATAGTAATAATATACTGATTAGGATTATGAGACAAAATATAAAGACGTATTTTGACATCGTTATTTTACAGTCCTAACATGTTTTACCACTGGCAGATGAGGTCAGACTTCAAAATGTTTTCATGTGTCATCATAACAATGAAGATGGAAATACTAACAAGTAAAACAGTTTTCATCTTTGTTGATCCATGTATACTTAAATACTACCATTTGCGCTTGCGGGTGACGCAGCAGAGATCTCAAACCAGTTACGAATTCTGGGATATCATCCGGGTACTCTCGGGACAAAAACGGAAATTGCTCTGGATCAGTGTCCACCCTACTCTACTCTGTTCATACCAGCAGTATGGGCTGTTTGTAAAACAAACACAAATATAATAACCGCCCAATTTTAACTTTCTTATGAGTGTTTCTGAAAAAGGTGTTGTGCCATTAAGAAATATTCAAAACGTAAATGCAGTAATATTTATTTCTTTACAATTTGTCGAACGATGGAACGTCGATATTCCCGGTCTGACAGCTTCTCCAGGCCAACCGGGAGGACAAGGACGACAATCACCTGGACTACATTCTTTAAGTCGATATCCTATGGTAAAGCTTCTGGTCCACGCCAATTGTAACAAAGAGGACAATCACCTGGACTACATTTGTCTTCTCGATATCCTGTGGTGTAACCGGTTATGGTGCTTGTCCATTTTGTCCTTAAACAAAAATAAAAATTGTGTAAGAGACACACCTACCTACCTACCTACCTACCTACCTTACCTACCTACAGTTTACTGCCCCATAGAAGGCATCTATCAAGCGTAGAGCGTGACTTTCATCGGCGTACGCTCAGTTAGCTCAAAAACGGTTCACTAGATCTCTAAATCAGTCGTGTGTAACGATGCGGTAAATGGGCATTTCTATAGCCAATTAACCTTTTGTGTGTATCAGATTTCGGGTCTCCGGTAAGTCAGAATTGTCACCCACGCATAAGGATATAAAGCTAATTAACACTAAAAGTGAAATATATGCACAGTATTTTATTAAATATAAATGTATAAAAATATAAAAAGTGAATGTACTGTAATAATAATATTTTGATGGTGGTCTGACTGGTGGTTATGTTGTCTTGCAAACTTTACAGGGATGTATGTTCTTTATATCTCCAGTATATCGTCTCCTTGTAAGTGTCCTTCTTTGTGTACTCATAACCAGCAGTAATATACGTCCACCTTTAGGATGAGGCACAAACTTGACCTGAACGCAGTAGCCACAACGCAGGTGAATGATGTCCCAAACACTTCATACTGACCTTTATATCTACATCACATTGTAAATTGTTCGCAAGTTCAAAATACCCAAAGTGAACAAAACTCATCAAATCAAATTGAACAATAATCACAAGTTAAAACAACACTTTAAAAACATTTCAAAACTTAAAAACACTAAGTGAACAAAATTCATCAAAATCAAAGTGAACACAGTTTACAAAATCAAACTATATTTATCTGGTGAACTCGGTTATTTGAGTTAGCTTTCACTTAGTGAACACAGTTCAGATACAGACTATAATCCCCCAGCCCTAATCCCCTTAATCCCCTTGAATTTCAGTTTTGTTCTAGCTGAGAACACACCCTTTCATTACATGACGATGACAAGAGCATTTGACAACCGTTAGAAACATTTGGCAATCATTAAAACGTCCAATTGACTACCATAACAAACAGACAAAAACAGAGCTGAAAGTCAAGACGTACAGTTATAACTCACAAAAACATATACTTTTTACAACAATAACAAATAATAGAATCCCATGACGCTTGGTAATAATATCACTTGAGTGAGTGTGGTAATGTTAAAGCAATGTAGTGCATGGGCATTCGATCGGGCGTGATAACGGCAGAGGATCAAACACTGCAAGCCCCAACCCCGACCAGTACATCCACTGCAAGCCCCAACCCCAGAGGATGCACATACCAGATTTCATGTAGTACATCGGGGAAAAACGCTGCGACCTGTCAACACAAGACTCAAAGAACACCAAACTTCCGTCAACAAGCTCGACCAGAAGTCTGCCATATCAGAACATACTAAAGAACAAGGACCACACCATCAAATGGGAAGCCACCAAGATCTTGTCCACTAACAACAACAGCTGGCGCCAAAGGAAGCTTCAGGAAGCCATAGACATACGGAGATGTCAGCCAACAATCAACCGTGACCAAGGAATCTACCTACCATGTGCTTGGGACTCACTCATTGAATTACTTGTTCATCGCTATTGCTTATCTCAGCACACTGGCCTCTTGCATGTTTAAACAGTATCGCTGGCTTCCCTGTGTTATTCTTTACCCTATCAGTTACCATGTTGATTTAGCGTATCACTTGCTTCCTCAACGTTTGTACTATATCCCACCAATCTATTACCATGTTGTTTTAGTGTATCACTGCCCTCATGTTTTTATTACATATTCTTTCCTCATCATTGTTAACTTGTTAAACATGTTTTCTTTGTAAGTAATGTATATATATATTCTCCCTTAAACTCCCTACCATTCACCTGATGAAGGAGCAAGCATACACTCCGAAACATCGTGTTATTCACAATAAAGAAGTGTTGACATCCATAAATCTTGCTTTTCTTATGCATTCCACTTCTAAATGCCCTTCAAAGATTTCACAGATTGTTGGTTGACATTCTACAAGTTGGTGAGTCATTATGACTGAATGATGCTTAGCATTTAGCTTAATAATGAATACTGAAACGTCACAAAAGTTGTTTATCCGTATAGACGTGTGCTTCATTATTAATTAAAACAGACTTGACTATCACAACAAACAATAATCTATCATTGTCACAGAGATACCACAGTGTGTACAGCCGTGGAAAACAGATTAACCAGTGCCCGTTAAGGTGCCAGGTTATGTTTGTCTGTAACACACAATTGATATCAGAAGATGACTTATATTATGTGACGAAATGCTCAGTCCATAGATACAACACTTCAAGTCAAGTGAATTACCTGTATCGAGTGCATCTGTTCCAGCCCAAGAAACCGCACCTTGTCGTGTACCTCTGCTTGATGGAGACACGTTTCCCATAGACCCTGTGACATATATATATGAAGACATTCAAGGAGATAAATATATTTCCCATCCCTGTATGTCACAAGCCTGATAGTAGAATAGAATGAGACAAGTTCATCATATATATACTCAAAGGCAACAGTAAGTGTGATGAACATATTTGTTTATATTAATAATAAAATATTTATAACGCATTTTAATATTCTATATAAAACTTGATCCATAACCCATACAGGGTCCTGTCAGTAGTTTTTGTTTTGCATGCGTTTTTCGTGCTATCAAGAAGTCCGTGGAAAAAAGCATAAAACGAGCCCAGTAAAAAGTGTGGCTCTAAACCTTGAATCATTGTCACCCAAAATCATTGTTTAGATGTCGACCGGTCCGAAAACACAAATTTGGAAGAATCTGCTTGCATTTCTCTATGCCAAGGCTAACTGAAAAGGAAAGATGGCACACCATTGGAATGCTTGAAACTGGAACATCCCAGCGCAACGTTGCACAGTAGTTTTTGTGCACAGGAACACCATATGCCGCTTGTGGAGACGTCATCAATAAAACGTCGTCGTTGCAGACCGTCCCAGCCACACTGACAGCCCGAACAGTTCCTGGTGTCAACAGGACATCGCCAAGGACCATTTGCCGGCGTCTTGCTGCACATACATGCGCGACGTCCTGCCAGTTGACAAATTTTGACATTACGTCACCAACGTCTACGACTGCAGAGGTGCAGACAATATCTGCGGTGTAGAGCACGTGGGTGGAGACATGTTCTCTTTACTGACGAGTCCAGATTAACGTCTTTCCCTGGTCGCTGAATCTCCAGATCTGTCGCCGATCGAACAGGTCTGGGACGGAATGTAGAGGAGATTGAGATCTTGGCCAAATGAGACCGGCCAAATCCCCACGGATCAGGAACTCTGCCAGGTGCTTCCACAAACATAGAATGCCATTCCACAAGACTTCTTGCTACGTTTGATTGGCTCCATAAGGCGCAGGTGTCAAACATGTGTCCATGCTCATGGTGAACCCATACGTTATTGACTGAATTGAATTTCATTTTGACCGTTCTCTTACTGTGACCTCATTGTGTCCGCCAGAAAAGGTTGAAATGTACCATTTGCAATCCTATTTTGGAATGATTTTCTTGCATTATTAAAAAAAGTCTCACCATGAAAATATCAGTTGTAAATTCACATATCTAACTTCAAGTCAATCACCCTAACGTTTTCCTTTGAGTATACCTACATCATCATTTGTATAAATACAGCCCGAACAGTTCCTGGTGTCAACAGGACATCGCCAAGGACCATTTGCCGGCGTTTTGCTGCACATACATGCGAGACGCCCTGCCAGCTGACAAATTTTGACATTACGTCACCAACGTCTACGACTGCAGAGGAGCAGACAACATCTGCGGTGTAGAGCACGTGGGTGGAGAAATGTTCTCTTCACTGACGAGTCCAGATTAACGTCCTTCCCTGGCCCGCTGAATCTCCAGATCTGTCGCCTATCGAACACGTCTGGGACGGAATGGAGAGGAGATTGAGATGTTGGCCAAATCCCCACGGTTCAGGAACTCCGCCAGGTGCTTCCACAAATATAGAATGCCATTCCACAAGACTTCTTGCTACGTTTGATTCGCTCCATAAGGCGCAGGTGTCAAGCATGCGTCAATGCTCATGGTGAACACATACGTTATTGACTGAATTGAATTTCATTTTGACCGTTCTCTTACTGTGACCTCATTGTGTCCGCCAGAATAGTATACAATGTGCCATTTGCAATCCTATTGTGGAATGATTTTCTTGCATTATTAAAAAAGTATCATCATGAAAATATCAGTTGTTAATTCGCATATCTAGCTTCAAGTCAATGACCCTAACTTTTGCCTTTGAGTATACCTACATCATCATGTGTATAAATACATGCACATTCACATAATTCTGTGTACATGAATAGTACTGTGGATGGTTGCAGTCAACGCGTGTTTAACTAAACTAACGGGCAAGAGAAACAATATGTTGCCCATACACTTGATATTAAATTTCACTACCCTTTTTCACAATGGTGGTTTATGGTTGTGTAATATCAATGATTTTCACTTGGTATCGCGTCTTTTGCCTTTAGTATATTTGTAAGGAATGAGTTGATGCATTATATTTTCAATTTGTCATTACACTGTATTTAATTCTTTTAATGACACTAACTTTTACTATCTCAGTTATTATAAAAGTTCATTCTTCATGTAAATGGTATGAAACCTAATACTCACGGCCGCCTGTAGCTCACCCTCTCTCTATTGCATTCGCAGCGACAACCACTCCCTGGAACTGGAGAGATTATAGTTATATACACTCCTGTCCTTTCTAGCATGCAGTATAACATAACAACTGTAATGCATAAAACCACAATTTCACACATTTTCGACAATATGCTGGCCTATATCATACACATTGGGGCAAATGCAATCACTTTAGCTTCCTATTGATGCGAAACAAAAGGACTTTATCATCCCTTACGACTTACCTGAAATCGATAATAGGTTGCGTTTCAGGATATTTTAGAACGTTATTAAAACATCTTACCCATGGGCCAGATTTTTTCACCTTATTAATTCGGTTAATTTAGAGCGTTATTTACGTTTGCTCAAAACTCATGCTTTTTGAGAGTCCACAGTGGGCGGAATCAGTTTCGCCTATTGGCGAGTAAAACTTCATTTCAAAATCCATTTGTTTTGGTTTGCAAATAACATATATCAATGCCTATAACTATTCTGACACTTGACAAAATTCTTTAAACATTTAATAAAAACAATGCAAATTGCTTCATTTTATCCTTATGATCAAACTTTGAAATGAATGAAAAAAAATAAAAAATAAAACACTGAAGATGAAAACGATTTATCAATGAAACAAGTGCCACGAACATATATACGATGTAGATATATTTGAGATGACTTCATGTGTAGCGTCAATGTTGAAATGCAACATGAACGTACAGGAAACATTTGAGTTTTCACACAATAGCTAAATTGAGAGGCATATCTTGCTAAACCAGGTTGTTTTCAAGAGCAAATATATATAATTGTCCATGTCTTTTCACAACACCTTTACAGACCAATATGTGCACACGTTGCGAAGTTTATTCTATTCCTATCACAGTAAACAAGGTTGTTCAATGACACACATAAAATATCAATATTTTTAAACGCTAATTTTACATGACAAACAAGTTAATGCACAGTTCGACACCTCAAGTGATTAAAAACAATCAATTCAAGATTTCGATAGAATTTGAGATAATTAACTACAGTGGAATCTGTCAAATCCGGACACTTTGTAAAACGGTTTTCTCCATAATCCGGACTACTCTCTGAGTCCCGGCAAAATTATTCTTAATTTATCATTAAAGCTTGCTCTATAATCCGAACTCCCTCAATTACGGACTAAAATAACCGTCCCGACAATCAACTTACTAAAAGAACGGAAATTGCTCTGGATCAGTGTCCACCCTACTCTACTCTGTTCATACCAGCAGTATGGGCACAAATATAATAACCGCCCAATTTTAACTTTCTTATGAGTGTTTCTGAAAAAGGTGTTGTGCCATTAAGAAATATTCAAAACGTAAATGCAATAATATTTATTTCTTTAAAAATTGTCGAACGATGGAACGTCGATAGTCTATTCCCGGTCTGACAGCTTCTCGAGGCCAACCGGGAGGACAAAGACGACAATCACCTGGACTACATTCTTTAAGTCGATATCCTGTGGTGTAACCGGTTATGGTGCTTGTCCATTTTGTCCTTAAAATAAAAATAAAAAATACATAAGAGAATACACACACACAAATACCTACCTACCTCCCTATCCTACCTACCTACCTACCTACCTACCTACCTCCCTCCCTCCCTACCTACCTACCTACCTACCTACCTACCTACCTACCTACCTACCTACCTACCTACCTACCTACCTACCTACCTACCTACCTACCTACCTACCTACCTACCTACCTACACTATTACAATTTACTGCCATAGAATGCATCTATCAAGCGTAGAGCGTGACTTTCATCAGTTTACCCTCAGCTAGCTCAAAAATGGTTCGGGGCGGTGGGGTAGCCTAGTGGTTAAAGCGTTCGCTCGTCACGCCGAAGACCCGGGTTCGATTCCCCACATGGGCACAATGTGTTAAGCCCATTTCAGGTGTCCCCCGCCGTGATATTGCTGGAATATTGCTAAAAGCGGCGTAAAACTAAACTCAGTCAGTCAGTCAAAAATGGTTCAATGGATCTCAAAATCAGTCGTGTGTTACGATGCGGTAAATTGACATTTCTATTGCCAATTAAGCTATAGTGCGTATCAGATTTCGGGTCTCCGGTAAGGCAGAATTGTGACCCTCGCATAAGGATATAAAGCTAATTAACACTGAAAGTGAGATATATGCACAGTATCAATATAAATGTATAAAATATAACAAATATATGTTGTGTAATAATAAGGAATATTTTGATGGTGGCCTGACTGGTGGTTGTGTTGTATTGCAAACTTGACAGGGATGTCATTCTTGGTGTTCAAAGTAGCAGGACAGCCGCTTGTATTTTCTAGATATCTCCAGTATATCGTCTCCTTGTAAGTGTCCTTCGTTGTGTACTCATAACCAGCAGTAATATACGTCCACCTTTAGGATGAGGTAGAAACTTGATTTAAACGTTAGCATTAGCCATGGTGAATGATGTCCAAAACACTTCATACTGACCTTTATATCTACATCAAATTGTACATTGTTCACAACTTTAAAACCCCCAAAGTGAACAAAACTCATCAAATCAAATTGAACAATAATCACAGAGTTAAAACAACACTTTAAAAACATTTCAAATCTTAAAACACTAAGTGAACAAAAGTCATCAAAATCTAAGTGAACACAGTTCACAAAATCAAACTTTATTTACCTGGTGAACTTATTTGAGTGAAGTTATTTGAGCTAGCTTTCGCTTAGTGAACATAGTTCAGATACAGACTATAATCCCCCAGCCCTAATTCCCTTAATCCCTTGAATTTCAGTTTTGTTCTAGCTGAGGACACACCCTTTCATTACATGCCATTGAGTATTATTATATTAGACCAAATATGTATAAAATGAATATCCTATTTAACACCAAGAAACTAGCAACTATAAGAAAACTCTCAATTGTGTGTAAAATAATTATGGCTTTATTTAAGAAATAATTTCAATAGTTTAATATGTAATTAGCTCGATGTACATTGCACCTATCATGCCGTTTGTATATACTTTTTATGTTGTATATAAATGTAAATATTATTTATGTACCTCTTATGCTGCAGTTTGCAGGCTGAGTGAATAAAAGTTCAGTTCAGACGATGACAAGAGGCATTTTACAACCGTTATAAACATTTGGCAATCGTTAAGACGTCCGCTTGACTATCATAACAAACAGACAATAGCAGAGCTGAAAGTCAAAGCGAACAGTTAAACTCACAGAAACATATACATTTTACAACAATAACAAATAATAGAATCCCATGACACTTGGTAATAATATCACTTGAGTGAGGGCGGTAATGTTACAGCAATGTAGTGCATGGGCATTCGATCGGGCATGATAAGCGAACACTTCCACAAGGCCACGCTGACAATCATAACATATACTGCCTTAGCGAACACTAGAACTAGATAGCGGTCGCTTTGCAAGCATAGGATATCGGTCGCATGGCAACCATAGCGTACAATTGACAATCACAGATTGTTGGTCGACATTCTAGGAGTTGGTGAGTTAATAATGAAGCATATGACTGAATGATGTTTAGCTGTTAGCTTAATAATGAATTGTGAAACGTTGCACTATGCAATAAACAAAAAGTTGTTTATCCGTATAGATGTATGCTTCATTATTAATCAAAACAGACTTGACTATCACAACAAACTGTTGAATAATCTATGATTGTCACTGAGATACCGCAGTGTGTACAGCCGTGGAAAACAGATTCAGCCAGTCCCCGACATGGTGCCAGGTTATGTTTGTCTGTAACACACAATTGATATCAGAAGATGACTGATATTATGTGACGAAACGCTCAGTCAACAGATACAACACTTCAAGTCAAGTGAATTACCTGTATCGAGTGCATCTGTTCCAGCCCAAGAAACCGCACTTTGTAGTGTACTTCTGCTTGATGGAGACACGTTTCCCATAGATCCTGTGACATATATATATGAAGACATTCAGTGAGATAAATACATTTCCCGTCCCTGTATGTCACAAGCCTGATAGTAGAATAGAATGAGACAAGTTCATCATATATATACTCAAAGGCAACAGTTAGTGTGATCAACATATTTGTTTATATTAATAATAAAATATTTATAACGCATTTTAATATTCTATATAATACTTAATCCATAACCCATACAGGGTCCTGTCGGTAGTTTTTGTTTTGCATGCGTTTTTCGTGCTATCAAGAAGTCCGTGGAAAAAAGCATAAAACGAGCCGAGTACAAAGTGTGGCTCTAAACCTTGAATCATTGTCACCCAAAATCATTGTTTAGATGTCGACCGGTCCGAAAACACAAATTTGGAAGAATCTGCTTGCATTTCTCTATGCCAAGGCTAACTGAAAAGGAAAGATGGCAAACCATTGGAATGCTTGAAACCGGAACATCCGAGCGCAACGTTGCACAGTAGTTTTTGTGCACAGGAACACCATATGCCGCTTGTGGAGACGTCATCAATAAAATGTCGTCGTTGCAGACCGTCCCAGCCACACTGACAGCCCGAACAGTTCCTGGTGTCAACAGGACATCGCCAAGGACCATTTGCCGGCGTTTTGCTGCACATACATGCGAGACGCCCTGCCAGCTGACAAATTTTGACATTACGTCACCAACGTCTACGACTGCAGAGGAGCAGACAACATCTGCGGTGTAGAGCACGTGGGTGGAGACATGTTCTCTTTACTGACGAGTCCAGATTAACGTCCTTCCCTGGCCCGCTGAATCTCCAGATCTGTCGCCTATCGAACACGTCTGGGACGGAATGGAGAGGAGATTGAGATGTTGGCCAAATCCCCACGGTTCAGGAACTCCGCCAGGTGCTTCCACAAATATAGAACGCCATTCCACAAGACTTCTTGCTACGTTTGATTCGCTCCATAAGGCGCAGGTGTCAAGCATGCGTCAATGCTCATGGTGAACACATACGTTATTGACTGAATTGAATTTCATTTTGACCGTTCTCTTACTGTGACCTCATTGTGTCCGCCAGAATAGTATACAATGTGCCATTTGCAATCCTATTGTGGAATGATTTTCTTGCATTATTAAAAAAGTATCATCATGAAAATATCAGTTGTTAATTCGCATATCTAACTTCAAGTCAATCACCCTAACTTTTGCCTTTGAGTATACCTACATCATCAGGCGTATACCTACATGCACATTCACGTAATTCTGTGTACATGAATAGTACTGTGGATGGTTGCAGTCAACGCATGATTAACTAAACTAACGGGCAAAAGAAACAACATGTTGCCCATACACTTGATATTAAATTTCACTACCCTTTTTCACAATGGTGGTTTGTCGTTGTGTAGTATCAGTGATTTTCACTTGGTATCGCGTCTTTTGCCTTTAGTATATTTGTAAGGAATGAGTTGATGCATTATATTTTCAATTTGTCATTACACTGTATTTAATTCTTTTAATGACACTAACCATTACTATCTCAGTTATTATAAAAGTTCATTCTTCATGTAAATGGTATGAAACCTAATACTCACGGCCGCCTGTAGCTCACCCTCTCTCTATTGCATTCGCAGCGACAACGCCCCCCTGGAACTGGAGAGATTATTGTTATATACACTCGTGTCCTTTCTGTCATGCAGTATAACATAACAACTGTAATGCATAAGAGCACAATTTCACACATTTTCGACAATATGCTGGCCTATATCATACATACTGGGGAAAATGCAATCACTTTAGCTTCCTATTAATGGAAAAAAAATACTTTATCATCCCTTACGTCTTACCTGAAATCGATAATATGTTGCTTTTCAGGATATTCGTAAAGTGCGCTCCAATGGACATAACTCTATGGACTTTGCTTGAAATAATGTTCGGCCTGTAGAGGGCACCAGAGTCGATTTAATGCAACGTTACTTAAATTCATTCAAACTTTTTAATCAAATATTGTCAACTAAATACGTATTTTTTTCGGAATAAATTACACGGTAGCTTCCCTAGGGCTAATAGTCAGTGTTATTGAGAGAAATTCATTATTAACATTTAGAAAAGTGTGGTAAGAAACAGTGCCTTTAAGAACCACCCATGTGAGTGAGTGTTCTATGCACGTGCATGTCCTTACATTATTGGTGTAGCAGTGGCGGAAAATATCATAACATTTTAACTCCGCCATTACATAACACTTGTGATTTACCATCTCTTCACCATTACATAACACCTGTGATTTACCATCTCTTCGCCATTACATAACACTTATGATTTATCATCTCTTCGCCATTACATAACACTTGTGATTTATCATCTCTTTCGACGAGATAAATATTACAGGCAAAAGGTTACTATCCTTTAAAATGTTGTGTTATTTATAGGGAATCACTGATTCTGTCATATGAACACACGCACGCATGCACGCCCACGCGCGCACACATGCACGCCTAAATACGCACACAAACAAGCACAATAATAACACAACTAATATAATAAGGTGGTCATTAGGACTGCACGGTATTACCGGTACATATTTTCTGTTTGGCGGTGAAACTGCTTTTAATCAAAAGGTTGATCAAGGAACAAGGGAAACAATTATTTTACGATTTTTTTATACATTTGCCTACAATGTTACACTGAATGATTGTCGCTGATGCATTAACTCGTGTATAATCATGTATGTCCATTTTCGGAACTGCCTTGTATAAATCAATTGTATATACATTTACATGTATGTTCTCATGTAAATTATAACTTTAGGCAATCATCTTGATTAAGTAATTGTGTATACATCCATACCAATTCTGCAGCTTTTCACCCTTCCTGTATTTATATAATATGTTTGATCGGATGACCCTTTGGAGGAAATAAAGAATCTCTCTTTCTCTCTCTCTCTCTCTCTCTCTCTCTCAATATTGCAATACAATTTATTTGCCAATACGTACGTACGCACGCAAAAAAAGCACGCACGCACGCACACACACACACGCATGTACATCTGATGGTATTCAAAAGTATTACCAGGTGTCGGTGACATGTCACATCAACCAGGATGTCTAATCAAACTCGGTATAGCACAATCCCCTCCTCTAAAGTAAATAAGTTGCGTATGTACAGATGCTTTATGGGAGTGTTTCCTGCAATCTAATTGGACCTCCTACAGCTGACTTCACCTAGAGAATGCATTGTCGACGGCTTTTTTACACAGGGCAATGTATTGCTCAAAATAGTTAGTCTTTGGTTCAACCCTTGTTCACTGATAGCCATATATATAAGTAAAGGGACGTAATGCTTACAAATACCCCCTCTCTTTTCTTGGCGAATTTGGGTGAGAATACACAGCCGTGATTCGTACAGAATTAAAGCCAGATACATTTCAGCCTTATCAAAATCGGTTCACTATTTACCGAGTAACTATGCTTGGAGCTCGGGAAAAGACAAAAAAAAATTTAAAAAACGCCGAAAACGTGCCTCAGAAAAACATCGCCTCTTGGCGAAGAAATACCATCAGTAAAGTATTTCAGTTAAAAACACACAATCGAAAACTTGAAAAAGCATTACCATTTCGTGATCGATAGATATTCTGCTTTTGTATTCTAACCTCTCATATGACACAAGCTATTGATTTTACCTGACACACACTTCATTAGAAAAATAAAGGGTTCGAGTCCACAATCTTTGTCCTTTACCTTTAATAGGCTCGCTCTAACGACGAGCTGCTCTCTGACTGGCCATAAATTAAATGCCTGTATGATATATTTTCTCAGGTATGCTTTTGGCGTACAAATGAAAAAGTTGTATAAACTTACACGAGCTGAACATTGTTTTTGATATTTTTAATGAAACGAATTGCACCAAATCCATGTTGCAGTGTCACGTTTAGAATTGTCGTAACGAATCTAATTTGTGGCTACTCCATAATACTTACAGAGGAAATTCAATTCAAACCAAACCGAAACTTGAGTCTCATTAACCTATTCAGACAATGACCTACGTTTCAGCCGATCCGAATTTTCTCGTGTGAAATAGAAAATAGACATCACAAACAACTATTGTTACGGCGTATGTACTTGTGAACCTTGAATTGAAAAACCATCAATCTTGTGATTCATTTACAAGCATGAATATCTTACCTTTCGATGTACTGCAATAAATCAATATATGCATGAATACACAACACAAATAGTTTGACCAGACCAACTTAGATAGAGAGAGAGAGAGAGAGAGAGAGACAGACAGAGAGAGAGAGAGAGAGAGAGAGAGAGAGAGAGAGAGAGAGAGAGAGAGAGAGAGAGAGAGAGAGAGAGAGAGAGAGAGAGAGAGAACACAAATAGTTTGACCAGAGCAACTTAGATGAGAGAGAGAGAGGGCCGCACACACACCGAATAATAACACAACTCATGTAATGACGTGTTCATACACACACGCACACATACACACGCACGTGCATCTAGTACATGTCACATAAATCAGGATGACTGTTTAATTATATTCGGAATAACGCAACCCCCTCCTCTCAACTAAACGTGCGGCGTATGTACATGAGTCGCGGTAAGTGTGAGTGTATCCTGCATCCTGATTGGATGAAGCGATCTGAAAGCTTTTCAGTACGATTCCTCCATGCTGTCACTTTTCTCAACATTTTTCTGATCATTCTGTTCAGTTAACATAGCATCACATGATGCAATACATCACGTCATGTACATGCACCTCCTACAGCTGTGTACACTCACCGAGAGAATGCATTGTCAGTTTATGATATGTTCCCCGCCGTGATATTCCTGGAATATTGCTAAAAGCGGCATAAAACCCAACTCACTCACTCACTCAGTTTATGATATAAGGCCCGTCCGACTGCCCCTGACGGGCTAGATTTCTGACGACCGGTCTATATTTACAGCTAGCCAGACTGATGGTTTGGTAAGATTTTTAGATAACATGTTCCGTACAAATGAGTAAATTCACCACA